AACGACACATCAACTATTAAATCAGTCGTCGACGATTTTGATAATCACGACTAGTCGACTAATCGTGGCAGCCCTACTATTATTATTATTGTGCTAAATTTTGTAATTTCAGTTATTAATCTAACACACTGGGGCTTAATGATCTTTTAAATCCGCAGTATTTACAACAAGAATTTTCTTGACTTTTCAACAGAATTCAAATGAAATACAATTAACTGGGGACAGAACAGCTGAAGAAGAGCTGGAGAGGTCATCTGGTAGAGAATTACACTCAAAACTAGCAGGTGATTTAAACCACAAAGGCTGTCTCTGCAAGGGCAACAGTTGGTTTCTGACAGATTCATAGAGGAGATCTGAAAAGTAGCCAAATGGAGACCAACAGCCTGATCACATGGTGCTGAAAGGGGACCAAGGTGAGAGACTCAGCGGGACACATTCAGTTAGACCAAAGAGTCTTTGTTTTGCTCAAGATGAATCACACTGGGTGACTCTGGGCATTTATGGTGAGGCAAATATGCACTACTGTAACAACGAGAGAAAACAAAATTTGCCTGAAAAGCCACACCTAGAAGTATGTTCTCCTTATTGATCTGTGCTGCTGTGTTAGCATAAGTAAGGCTGAAAAATATGTTAACTGTTAATAACACCACAGCTCAGCGGATGGTGCAGAGTATTGTAAAGGTATTCGAACACGCAGGATGATACATTACTTCTTAAGTAGTTAATAAGCAATGTTTTACTTCTGCAAAGGCACCAAGTGATTGTTTTAGCAACATGACTGTTCATGGTTTAAAATTCCCTCACTGCTTTTTCCCCAGCCTTGAATATTTACTATAACAACACGGAAAATGTCGAAAAAACAGTGCATTAGTCAGGAACAGCGGTGGATTATTCCACACATGTCGCTGGATGCCATATTTGTTGCAGCAGGAGGGTGTGTGTGTGTGTGTATAGCTAGGTTTAAGTTTGGTGTCTTTAGCGGTTTAATAGATACATCAGGTTGTAAGTCTGATTTATCTTCTGCCACACCACAGCAGCCTGTTTGGATCGGTGTGTAAACTGCTTCAAGGTGACCAAAAGTGGAGTAGTTTACACGAGGAATAAAAGAGATTTCTCCATCTCAAGTGTCTCTAGGAGGAGCGACTGTCTGTTCCAAATACGGCTGTCAGTTACTTCACAGGCCTGAAATAATCTGACCAGGCAGCTGCCAGAGCTTCAGCCTTTCCACAGTCTTCTTCTTGGCTCAGGCTGGAAATTCTTGAGCTGGAGTTCCCAATCACAGCGGCCTGGCAGCGGAGGGCACGGTCTAAACTTCCTCCTGGCATCTGCGTTACAGCAGCTGTCGCATCACATGCTACGCTGCCACAGTGAGTCACAGAGCAGCAGCTGCTGCACACCAAAAAGTACCCCAGAAGAGCAGCAACAAGAAGGACGTGCTGCTGCCCCCTGCAGGCGACCAGGGGGCACAGAACAACTCTGCAATCAAAACTGCACCAACCTGATCTGTCCTGATTTATTGTCACTTAGACCCACCAGCTGTAGGTCAACCAGGATCCGTCAGGGTCACATGACCACTGACTGCTCAACTAAATATTTAGAAAGATTCAAAATAAAATCTCACACAACACTCACGAGAAGCCAGCTGACTGTAGCAGCAGCAACTCAAACTGAACCGTCAGCAAATAATTGTTATCAATAAAATACACATGCAAATGTCATAAATTTCACCAACTGCTGCGTCGTAAGTAAGACCCTCTAAGGTTCAAGTAAAGCTGCAAAACTAATATAAATCTCTCAAATTATCTACAGGGTGTTGATTTGAGAGCCTGCTGTATTTTACCCTCCCGTAAAAAGACGTAGTCTTAGTGTAAGATCAGTGCATTCAGATCAGGCTTTTTATGCATTCAAATACTGTGAAAACTCAGGATTCAGACAGGCTGGTCTCCAAGTCACACTTTGTTTTGCAACTTTCTGATGAACACAGCAGACAAATTTCAGGTATTGACAATAACTGTGATACATACAAAAAGTAAATACTACTTCTAGCTGTTCCTTTTAGGGGTCACAGCAGATCATACACCTCCCTCCTCACCCCTGTCCCAAATAAGACACGATATCAGAAATGATCTAAGACAATGGATCTGAGGACTTCACCTCAGGAATGAAGGAATGGGTAATTTCAGTTTTTCCTGCTGTAAAAAGGGAAATCTATTTATAGATTTTGCCATCCTCACATACTGACTTCTTAAGTCAGTATGTGAGGATGGCGAATGAAACAAGCCTTCTTCTTTGATGGACTTCACTGGTAACTTTATGGATTTTCAACCCAACAACAAGCCGTCTGACCAGTAACAACATGCCATGTTGCTGAAGTCTGAGGTTAGTTGTACTCAGTCACGTCTGACTCTGAGTGGGTCAGCCAATCAGGCTGCTTCGCACCTGTGAGGTCTCTGTCCAATCTGGATGGGGATTTACACTGTACAGTGGAAACACACACTGACAGACACACACACGGTCAGCTGCTCATTCTTTCCGCCCGACTTTAAATTCCTCTGAGTTTAGATCAGCCGGCTTGTTGGGTCTATTCTGGTGCGACTGAGTATCCCACTGCAAGCTCGCTTTAGGACAGAAGTTCAGAGAGAAGTTCAGCTGCACGCTGGTCCTAACTCCCATATGTGGTCGTCTCCTCACTCCTCAGTGCACTGACGACCCTTTCGCTCTGTTTGCATGCTCCTGTGGAGGCTTCGACTGATTCAGCACTCCCGAGCAATCAGCCTTAATTAAGGGAAAGTCGGCTATAAAGTCGTCCCAACAATGATGAAGGCTTACTAATAACACTCTTACAGTGCAGCATCCACTGTGTCAAAAACAGAGGAAACTCAACAAGAGTCTGTGGAATCTTCATGGCATTAAATCTCTTAATTTGCAGTTCTTTTCGGAGTTTGTGGTGAATGATTTCACCGCTCACTCAGCTGGAAACAATTTTACACTTCAGCTCCTGATTTTAATTGTGTTGAAACTGTTAGATTTAGGCATTAAAAACCACTAGTTTCCCCCCCATGTGACACTTAATTGGATAAATGGTTAACAGGATGGTGAAGGGGTGTAGAAAAAGTTCCTGGTTTCACTGCTCTGGTTTCTTTTACAGCAGGATGACAGACTTTGGTGGAGAATGTGGACAACATACGTGCTGCAGACACGAAAACTATTACTGCTGAATTACAACAGAGTCAAAGTCTGTAACACAAAAAGTGGCCATGTGTCCAACAACACAAACAGACTTCTGTATTGTGACAATTTTAGCACAGGATCAGGCAGCTCTTTGCCTCTTTTAAAACTTAGTACGCTTATTTGCATTGTTTGTTTTATTTTGGATCTATTTTTGAAATATGTTTTAATTTAATTAATACTTTTTTAATGATCTAACAAAAAACAAGGAATAAGAAGGCCGTGTCTTTAATTTTAAAAATTGCCGCAGTTCAGAAATGTTGCACCTTCTTTAAAAACCCTGAACACAGCTGATCTTTTGTGATCTCTGAGTCTAAGCAGAGCTCGGCCTGGTTACTACCTGGATGGGACACTGCCTAGGAACTAGTTTACAGCACCTTATCTTACCCTTCCCTTTATAAAGAGACTCTTAAGTGGGAGTGGGAGGGCAAAGAAGATGAAACCACCTTTTTTGTGATTGAAATCGAAAAAAAACCAAAACAAAACAAAAAAACCCACCGGAAAACCCACAGAGCTCAGATCTGTAACGACAGCCCATGGAGGAGAGTCGGTCTGGCTATAATGACACAAACAGAATTTAGACTCCATGAGGTCGAGTAGTCCAGATGCACGAGGCAGCATCATGTATCGTTCCCATCCTGATCCAGAAAGTTCGATCAGATATTAGTGGCGATGTGCCGATCTATGAAGCCGATCTAGTTCGACCGTTTAGGTCGTTCTCTGAGCAACTATCCGATTGTTAGCACAAAAGCTAACAGCTGTATCCTCGGTTTAAAGTCTTTCCAGTGAAGTGAGGCTACTGTGGCTGATCCTAAAACTTAAACAGCTTGAGGTGAGGGGTGTGTGTGCGTCTTACAGGCAGAGCAGCAGGGCGAAGCCAGCAATGTACTCGTTCCTCTGTGCTCTGAACAGCTTCATGTGGATGTGCTCGATGGCTGTCGGGTGGTTTGCCAGATCCACCTTCTCCGTCACACTGTACTTCCTCACCTCACGGAAAGCATCTGTACAGGAAACACACTGAAACGTCACCTTTCTGCATCTTTAATTCACAGTAAACTTATTTTGTAGCTGCACTGTAGCTCTGCTGCTTCCCTGCTGGCTGAGGTACAAAGTCGGTGCTTACTGGGAGCAAACTCTGTCCTACCACACACGCACACAACAGAACTGATTTCTGGCACAGGTACTGAACTGTTAATGGTTGATGTTTTTAAAACCTGAACTTAAACTGCTTAAAATAATTATTATTAGTAGAAAACCTCTTGCTCTAAGTAAACTCTCTGTGAGGCCGTTGGCAGGAAAAACCTGGTTTATGTTAGAAGCTAGTTCAAATCACGATGTGTGGTAAACCTGGGCGGATAAATGTGGCTACTGAGCAGAGAAGTACTGGATATACTGTCACAATACAACATGTAATTACAGTTGTACTTCCTAAACAACATTTAAGCATTTGAAAAAATAAAGCTGTCTTTCTGCACAACCAAATGAGTAGCTTCTATGTTTAGATGGAAACATCTCGAATCCCTGTGATCCGACTACGACAGATGTTATGTATCTGGGAAAATTTTGCAGTTACTTTGATGCTTTACAAAATCACAGACTGATGCCGAACTTTAATTTAGTTTTAAATGTTATAAAAGCCACACATTATTTCTGCCTAACACTCCTTTGATAAAGAGTTTGGCAACATTTCATCAGCTGGACTCTGAACACGCTGTTATTACAAAGTAAGGAACTGATGGTGCCGTTGTTTACCCGTGCTTCATCAAACTTGATTGAAATGGAGCTACAGCAGCGTCCTCCACAGACTGGAAGAATGCAGAATATCGACTACACTTTGGCTAAAGGCCACCTCCCAACCAATCAACAAAAGCACTGCAGACGTACCGATGAGCAGAAAGACGAGGATGGCGATGGCCACCATGAAGGCGGTGTTTCCATAGAGAGTGATGGCCTTTATGATGCGAGATTTGAAAATGCTGTTCCACCTAAAAAAACAACAACCAGGAGAATAAAACACAAATCAGTCGGCAACTTCAAGAAGTTCACTTTTATACATTTTTACATTATAGAGACTGTTAGAAGAATTTATTAGAGTCACTTTTCTTTTCTTTGTTTATTTTTTTACTCTTTGTTTGGAGTAATCTGAATTAGTTTTTTGTTATTTTATGAAGCCATTATTTAATTTTTAAATGTTGTGTTGGACACTACTGGTTCTGCAGGACAGGAACTGAACCTTCTGGGATAATTAAAATCCATCTTATCGCATCTTTTGGGAGCCAAAAGTGATCCTAGCACGCTTGAAGTGATGGAAAAAAAAAGGAAGAGAGCAGAAGAGAAAGGATGGACGAATAAATGGTGATCTTAATGTTTTACAACACAGCAACTAAGCCTGGAGCTCTAGCCCCCTCTAGGGGCCAAACAAAAACAGACATGAGCTCACCTCTGCAGGAAGCTGGTTATTAAGAATATAGTTAGTACAGTTTTATATTTATTTTTATTTAGTTTATATTATATAGATTTTTTTTTTAAATTTGCTTTAGTTTGAGCCATTTTCTAGAGTCAGTTCTTAGTACTTTTAGAACTTTTAACAGTTTCAGTTTTGGGGTTTTTTTTCCATATGAGGGAGTGGGATACACCAAAGTTTCAGTCTGAATAACCACGTTGCTATTATATAAAATTGCACATTTTCATTTTACACAGTTTAAGTACAATTTCATTTTGTTTTATTTTTATTTTTGTTGTCTAAAAAACAAACAAAAAACATGTCGACACCTTGTTTTATTAAATTGTAATTATGGTTAGCAACAAAACTGTAAAGTAAGTTGAGTTGTTGTTTTCCTGCTTCCATCTGTGGAGTCATGAATCAAGAACAATGATATTGCGGTGTGAAACTGACTAAAAGAGACAACAATATTACTTATCCTTGTTGTTTCTGGGTTAATGTACCATCCAACAAACGCAACTGTTGCTCAAAGCCTACATAGGCCGAGGTCATGTTATTGCATTTATCCATGTTAGGTTACACCATTGCTACAAACAGTCAATCAGATAAAAATGATAAACTTTCTTTCACATATGAAAATAACAAAACAAAGGCTATTTTTAATTCTTGATATCTAGTCAGATAAAATAATTTTAAATATCCTCTATGAGGTCTAGCACTAAAACTTTTACTACTACTACTTTTATTGACTTTTTTCTTTGTTGGATTTCAGCTCGTATCAGCGCTGTGCCGTGTGTGCAGAGTTAATCAGAGCTCATCATTCGGCAGTCAGGAGGTCTTTTAATGTGATCACAGTCACACAGAGCTGCTCTGTTTGAGGACAAACTGAACTCTGCTGCTTCCATCAGCGAGCTTCACGCTTCTCCAGCTAAAAATTAACGGCCAAAGCTTCCTCTCATGGAGCCAACAGCACACGGACACAATGTTGTAAATGCTTTGCATTGGCTGCTTTAAACCCAGATGGGCCAAGATTTATCTCGCCGTCTGTTTGTCGTGTGACAGTATCGAAAATCCATGATTGGGGAAGTTTTCAGCAAGGCAGAGAAAACATTCAATATCCAGAATTGTCTAATTGTCTGTAATTTTTCCCATGAAAGACACATCCATCAGCAGGGTTGTTAAAATGTCTGATTTCTATAGAGGTACTTTCTTGTGATTGTGATACTTTGTTTTGTTTTCAAGGTGTACTAAACTACAAAAGGATCGGTGTAGGGATGCATGTATCAGAACTGGTCCCCTACCAGCCCAAAAGCTCGGCACACATGAGCCGACATTACTGGTTGTGTCATGTGCATCTGTGAAATCACCACAGCCTTATCACCTTTCCCTCTCTGTAAAGTGGCACTCTGAGCTCCAACTGATACATCAACTCAAACAACGGCAAGCATAAACTGGGTGGAACAAAAAAGTACCAGCAGTTTGGAGATATTCCACACTGGTGCGCCAACACCTTGTTTGTATGTTTGCAAATGTTTTTATTGACTAAACTGCGGTCAAACCCAGCTGACTGACAGCTTAGACGATAATCTCTCTCATTTAAAAGTGAAATGGATTGAAAGTCATTTCTTTCCAGCTGCTAGTTTACTACAAACTACTGACCTTTCCAGGCAGTAGTTTGTACTGGCAGATATCTTAAGCCAAGGTAACGCTATCAGATTTGAGCTGGAAAAAGCCTGATGCCAAGACAGGTGTGTGTGAGTCAGGTGTTACCCACCTCTTGGGTGAGATGAAGGGAATGCAGAGCAGCAGAACTAAGAAGACCTCAGCGTAGAGGAAGGTGGCCACCGCAGTCCACTGCAGACTCATCCTGACTTCTGAACAGGAAACACAGCAGGTTCACATGTCAAAAACACCATCACATGGCACTTGATCATGACATCTACAGTTAATCGTTCTCAATAAGCAGAAGAACAGAATAACTACTTTATTGCCATTCAGAACGTACAGCAGTTAGTGCACATTAGAACAAACTGTATGACTTTAATCCACCCAGTTATCAGACACTTTCATCCATCAGTGCTCTGGCTGATGTGCTGCTCTGATGTTTAACATATTCATTTCATCAGATTGAGAATTAACGTGATAACATACCAGTCACACAAACTACCCAACTGACCGAGGCAGGAACAGTGTGCTCTGTCACGTAAAACTCAGACCCTAACAAAACTTTAAATCCAACAGTTAAACTGAAAGAGGCAGTTTCACAGCACCTCTGCTTAGCACCAATTGCATTTTAGCTCCTCCTGGTTTGCAGCAGTACCGGCGAAAAGTGTGAAGCCAACAGTCTTTCTTTATAATTTACTAGGAAAATTGGAAATACTCTAGATACAAAACACATGCAAACATATATATTAAGGCAAAAAACACATTTGTATTAGCTTGAAAGTCAATATTTGCTGTAACTGCCTTTATTATTGAACACAGCCTAAACTCTAGTCAGCTTTCTTGTCATTCAGGTCTTCAGGAATGACTCTCCAGGAAATTCAAAGCTCTGTTCTGGATGTTAGCTGGTTTCTGGGAACAAACTTCCAGAAAGCCTCAGATCAGCTGAAACACTCAGCTTATTTAAATCCAGGTTGAAGACTCACCTGTTCTCAGCTGCATTTGAATAAAGCACCAAATCCACAGTGTTTTACTTTTAAGCTTAAATTTCAAAACTTACATTTAACTACTGATTTTATCTACTGTTCCTTCCTTTTTTTCCTCCATTTTAAATCATGCTTTTCATTTGTTTCTGTTTTTTAATGTCTCTGTAAAGCACTTTGAATCACCTTGCTGTTGAATTGCGCTATATAAACAAACTTGCCTTGCCGTTTGTTCCACGCTCTATAAAGATAATCTCAGACTTCAATAATGTTAAAGTTTGCTTTCCAGGGAGGCCAATCAGAATCCAAATCCCTTTATTGTCATTAAACATCAGACATTGAACAAATACAAATGGGTGCATCATATCTTTATTGGTGCATCATATCTTTATTCTCTTCCCCCTCCTGCCCCCCCCCCTCTTTCTTAAATAGATAACTATCATATCTGATATCATATCTCACAGTACAGTAATATTGAATGGGTTCATTGTTGTACTTTGTCATGTTTCTCAGGTCTTTGTCTGAATTTCTACCAACATTACTTGTCATGTTCTCATGTTATTGCTAAGGATTGTCTATTGCATTGGAGTCACACTGGGTTAAATATGTACACTTGGGTTTTAAGGGGTATTTATTATTTTCTTCTTTTTTTGGGTTGTATGGAAGCCCCAAACGCAATTTCATTGTTCTTGACAATGACAATAAATAAATACTACTACTACAGAAGCAACTTCCTGTGAGCAGCATTTAGAATAGATCCATCCATCGCAAACACACAGAGACAGACGACCACTCGCACTCACATTCACACCTGTGAGTCAATCATTAAATTCAGAACAAATAACAATAGAAACAAATATAAAAATACAAACAACATAAATGCAAAACGTTTATACAGATGTGCAAGGGTGCTAATATGCATGTTGTTGTGTGTATGCGTTGTATGCATGAGAGAGGTGTGTGTTTTGAGGTGGGGCGTGTGTGTATCTGTGCTCGGTATGATGGCTTGTGGAAAGAAACTGTTCCCGAGTCTGGATAGACCTGTAGCCTCACCCTGAGGGCGGCAGGCCAAACAGGTGAGACGCAGGATGGGTGGAGTCTCTTGTGATTGCCTGTGTAGATGTCAGTAACTGACATCTATTTTATTTTTACTTTTAGATGCATTTTATTGTATTGATGGTGTGTTTGAGATCTTTGTCTTACTGAAAAATGAATCCAGTGGTGAACCACACACTGCTGGCTGAAACGCTCCAAACTATGACAGTCTCCACTGTGTCTAACAGCTGGCTGTAGACACTCACTGTTGTACTGCTCTCCCAACCTCCAGACAAAAAAAAATTCATATCTGGATCCATTGCTCCATAGGAGTTCTTGTGTAATCTGCCTCTGACCTTTCTCCCAGTTTCCCTTCCTGAAGAATGGCTTCTTGACAACCAGCCTTTCATTGAGACCATTTCTGAATTCACCTGGTAGACATAGCTTTTTAGGCACGACACTTTGCCCAGTTTCCTCACATTTTTTTAAGGACACACTGCACCTTGTCATTTGATTTTTGGGGTTTCCTCTGTTTTCTTGTATTGTTGTAGGGTCTGTATTTTACAATATAAAGCACCTTAAGGCAACAGTTTTTGTTATTTGGCACTATATAAATAAAATAAAACTGAACTGTCAGCCACGTGTAGCCACAACACTGGCTCATCCCTTGAATTAGGTGCCTTTTTATAATGAATAGTTCACAGGTTAGAAAGCCAAAATAAAATTATTTGAAAATGGAGCATGGACTGGACTGAAAATGAGTGAAAAGGCAGAACAAACATCCAAAGCAAAACATTTGAAAGATTGGAAAACTATTACTTTAACACCACTTTGAAAAAGTCTGACTCTTTGGAAACTAAAGAAAAAGAAGCGAGGAGTGGCTCAAGACTTTCACATAGTTCGGCATGAAATTTAAAAAAAGAAAAAATGTAAATGGGTAACTGTCATGTTGCTGATGTTGTGGAAGCCAGATTTTCACAGATCATACTTTATAAAAAAATGTTACAACCCCATGAAAGTGGATTTTCAGTGTATGGCTTCTTTCAGCTAAGCTTAATGACATTTTTCTAAAAATGCACTCCTAATCCTGTTTTAAGATTAAATCTAATAAACTCATTTACTTCTTCCACAAAACTGAAAAGCAACACAGCCCACTTTAGAGCAACCCGATGGGTGGAGGCCGGAGGCTTCTCCTTATTCTGAGATTGACGTCTTTGTAGACGATCCCTGACAACAATAAGTGAAAAAGACAAAAGCTAAAACAAAATCTGAATAAAGCATTTGAGTGTTTTCTTTGGCTGTGTGCAGTGTGAGCACTCGTGAGGGGTTTGCTTTGCTTCAGATATGGCAGCTCAGAACAGCTGTGTCATTGCGGCTCCGCAAAAACTGCAGAAACACAGCGCAGCATCACGCCTCCTTACACATTAAAACACTGATAACGCCCCTCATCGATCCCACAACACTGTGCTCCCTGTTACAGCTCACTTCAGCCAACAAACCAACCCACAAAGATTCACTGGCAGTACATTTTACCAGCTGCGACACTCTCAGCTGTCTGACCTAAAAACTTTACTCTCCTATCAGCACTCATTTCACATCTTCCCAATTTGCAGACTCTCCAGTGAGCAGATAAATTTGCAGGTCTGTGTATCTGCTGGAACTAAAGTCCATAAAATGAACTATGTGCTGGGAAGTAATTAAACTTGTTTTGTTTTTTACATTAGCGAACTAGCATGCTAGCTAGTTTCCCCTTACTAGTTACGTTTTCTTTTAGAATTACCCAGGTTATTACTGAAGGTTCAGTCTATTTTCTGGAAAACCGAGCATTCTGTTTCAAATTCACATCTATTCCAAGCGCTTGTTTCCAAAAACAAGTCACTTATTTCGCGCCACTCGCTGAAGCTAACTGTTGGTTGCTGCTAGGAGCAGTTAGCCTCGGTAAGCTGGAAAGAATCGGGGTGCTGATTGTTAGTGAACAGGTGGGACTCACCTTAACAAGCACCGCACACAGGCTAGGAGATGCGTCCGCACTGCACTTCCAGGAGCTTCAATTCTCCACTGACTCTGCTGTTAGCTGCTAGTTTAGCCTCCAGCTGTAAACACTTCCGGGTATTTTAGTGCCAGCTCATCTTGAAATATGATTGGACACGGAGCCGGAAGAGCGGAGGCACGTGACCTATCGTTGCGTCACTTTATTGTTCTATAGTAATCATTGAATGAATTTATAATTATTATCTTTTTGTACCTCACGTGATATTACATCTTTTGTTGAATGAAAAATACCATGCGATAATTCCAGTTAATTCCTTTAGTAGCTTACATTGCTTTTTAACGTGATAATTAATTGCATTTCAATTAATTTGAATGTTTTTTTAAATTCACCATTTATTGTGTAAATTTTTATTTTATTTTTTGGTACACATGACCCTCATAACAACATATTGTTGGAGGTGTATGCACATAAGCCACGAATTAATGAAATACTACGATCTGCGTGTAGTCTCTGCACATGAGATTTTAATCTCTGGAAAAAAAAATTTAACTTAAATTTAGACCACCATGTTTTGTAGCATGTTACATTTTATTTGTATCAGATACGATATACATATAAAATATGTAGTATACAGATTAAACGCTCATTTAATTAGTAGTTCCTTAGTCTATCCAACAGAGGGAGACACTGTCCATTAAAATCAGGCCTGTTTCAAAACAAGGACAAGAGCCTGCTCTCTGTTGTTCTATTTCCACAGGTAATTATTTACATGTGGAACTTGTATTTAAAAAAATATTTATTTAAATAATATAAATGCAAAGAACTATGTCTGAAGTATATCAGATTCACATTAGTTGGTTTTTTTTTTCATTGGCCTGTGACTGGATAAAGACCTGCATGAACCGAGGGTCCCATGGCAAAAATGTTTTCTCATAATCCTTACTGATCTTTAGTCAGCTGACTTAAAAAAAATTACAGCTGACTTAAATTACAGCTAAAAAAAACTAAAAATAGGATGGAATAATTTGGAAATCATTAAAAGACAATATTACACCTTTGAAAATACTGGACTTTATTGTTTTGTTTTGGGGTTTTTGTTTTTATTCTAACATGATCTTTAGGTCATCACAATGGTTTAAATGGTTGGGATATTACAGCTGCTTAACATTTTGTCATATTTCATAATGCAAAGAAAAGCGTCTGGACTTCTTTAAGTTACTTGAAGACGTTTCACCTCTCATCCGAGAAGCTTCTTCAGTTCTAAGGTCAAATGGTGGGGAGTCCCAGATATAAACCTAGTGGGAAGAAGCTTCTCGGATGAGAGGTGAAACGTCTTCAAGTAACTTAAAGAAGTCCAGACGCTTTTCTTTGCAAGCTCCTTTGACCACGATGACCTGGATGACTGAGAACCTTCACAGACATATTTCATAATGTAATAAATGTCTTCATTGGGTCTGGAGGACAGTTGGGCCAGTTTGGAACACGCATTTTGGTTTTTTGTTATTTTACTAACATTCAGCATTAATGGTGCCTTTACAGAGGTGCATATTACCCATACCAAAGGAAAAAATGGACTCTAATAACCTATGTGGTCCCTCTCGTCTTTAACCTGGAGGACGCTGTATCTGTGACCGTGATTATCAAAAGGATTTTAAAATATTGATTAGTCAGACCACAGGCCATGTTTTTAACTTCAGTCAATTAAAAGATCAGTCCCAGAAAAGGAAGGAATTTTTCTTAATTTTGTTTATATATTAGATTTTTTCACCTTTGCACTTCAGAGGGTCATTAATATGGCCCAAAAAATCACCGGACATCCTCTTCCATCTTTGAAGGACCTGTACAACACTCGCTGTCTCAAGAGGGCACGCAGCTTTGTACGGGACTGTACACACCCAGGACACTAAGTTAAGTTACGGTGTCATGTTGTGTCGTGTCATGTTGTGTTGTACGTATTGCTGACGTGGGACAGTTTTCCAATTTCATTGTACCATTGTACTATGTATGACTGTGCAATGACAATAAAGAGTTATCTTATCTCGTCTTAACAAATAATAAATAAAATAAAAAAACAACAACATATAAACCTTGCTAGACATTTTTTGTACATGTTTCTGCATATGCTGCACTAAGATTTGACGTAATTATGTAGTTTTTGTAATTTGTTCTAGTGGATGTGTGACTTGTTTGAGCAGCTTTGTCTTTGCCAGGTCCACATTATAAATGAAGATGTGCTCAATTCACTAATTAAATAATGATTACATTGACTTGTTGCGCCCTCTTGTGGTACACATTGGTATTGCACGAAAGCTAGCATGGGCCTGTTTTTAATTCATATTCAGATCTTTTGGGACATGAAATGATATTAACTGGTTGTTACATTCTGTTGATGTTTGAAATTATTATTTATTTTTAAACAGGAATTTACAAAAAGTACCTCTGCTGCTGTACCAGCCAGTAGCTGTTGAGGGCAGCAGAGTGCGTGTGCACACACACACACACACACACACACACACACACACACACACACACACACACACACACACACACACACACACACACACGATCTCAGACTCCATAAAAACAGAAAAACAAGACCACATGCACACACACTCACTCTGCTTCATAAAAATGTCAGCGCTCATAAAGACTGTTTATCTCCCTCTCTGTCTGTTTTTAGAATTTTCCACCACTCTCTCTTCTTCTTCTTCTCGCTCTGGTTTTCTTCCCCCTCCCTACTTCTACTCCTCACCCCAGCTCAGACATCCTAAATCACACATTAAACTCTTTAAAAGGTTTCTTTCAGTTGTCGGGTGGAGTAGAAACACACAGAGGCAGCAGCATGCTTCATTGGATGATGGCTTTTTCTAAACAGCCAATTGAAACCCGACTGAAAGTGCAGTATCTTAAAAGTGGCTAAAGCGAGCGGATGAGCGATGGACAGATTAATAAGTCATTATAGTGAACACACACACAAAGGTTTGTGCTCATATCTTTGTGAGGACCTTTGCTGAACTCATGCACCATAGGAGTGGGGGGTATTGATCATTCAGCCATCCATATCAGCCCCCTTTTACCCCTTTATAGTGAATTTTAGCAGTTTATGTTGTAACTGTGGTGTTAATCAATGAATATTATTAAAATATGGGATCTGATGGTTGTATTGATGTAAAGCAATTTGAAATGCTCCAAAAATGGCACCATATTATGTAAAAATGTAAAGGGCATAACTTTTAGATAGAGGTAAGAGTCTTGTCCTGTTTTGAACACGAAATGGAAAAATGAAAGATGGCTTCTTCTTCTTCTTCTTCTTCTTCTTCTTCTTCTTCTTCTTCTTTAATTTAAAGGTTATTAGCCTGTTTAGCATGTTGCTAAAGCAAAAGCAAAGCCTAACCTTAAACCCTGTTAGGGTTGTTACCAGGTGAACTGCACAAACTATAAATTCAATAAAGTCTCCGGCCTGATGATGGAGATCGCTGAGAGGGCCAGTCTCCGCATGGTGCTGTGCAATTCATTGATACACATCTGCCGATCATCTGCAGCACTAGTCGTCTCCAGCTTTACCTGATCATACAGCCATCTCAGCGGTTACATCAGGCTCACTTAGTTCTTCCTCTTGGTCTAGTTTCTTGGTATTCAGCTTGTCTCCTTTTCCAAGAAGCTATTGGTGTGCTCTCTCACAGCTCAGTTGGACTGTCTCAGCACCTGTTTGGAATTAATTGGACTTTCATTCAAAACCAGATCACTTACCTGCTTCCTGCTCACTCACCTGTTAAATTTGCAGCCCTCTCTTCTCCACTTCTGAGAGGAGCCCTGAAATGATCTTTACAGCAAAATCTCTATGTTGTTAATAAACCTTTTAGCTCTTCCTGTGGTCTGTGTCTGCACTCGGGTCCAACCGTGGCTGCAGGAGCTGAACAGGTACTTTGGTATTTAAGTCCTGCAAGATGCAAAGCTCCTACTGTCTCATCTCAGTCAAACTATAGCAACAACCTATCCAAACTGTTAACCCTGCATCACTGCTGACAGGATTTACTGTTTCAGATATTAATGTTGTCTAAACTTTAACAGATTTAGGACCTTGCTACTTATATATTTTACAGAACAACACAAACACTTGTGAAAAGCTATGTTCTTTGCAGACTGTAGGGGAGCTTACACCATTTTTTTTCTTTGTGACCCTCAGCATGATGCATGAAATGGAAACAATATTAAGAAAGCAGTTGAAGATAATCTGGAACAATGCTTATATGAAAAAAAGCAGAGTGAGGTTCAGCTGAAGGGACTGAGATGTGTCCAGTTTCAGATGAGCTGAAGCCTTCAGCCTGCAGGGGGCGCTGGCAGCACTTCCCACGATGCTGGATCGTGTTTGATAAACTGACACCAGCAGACGTGAAGCAGACTCTGATCCTCTGAGGTCTTTCAGGCTTCGGCCTCCGTCTCGACACACATCACGTCTAACTGCTGTGCATGCTTCATCGTATTCGCCATCTCATTGTTGGTTCTGTCTTTAAGTCTTCGTGCGTTCTGACAGAAATATTCTTCAGACTCATCGATCGGCCGCAACATGAAACCAGAGACGGCTGAAGTCTCCAGAGAGAGAGAGTGTTATCAGCACTGTGCAGCCCCCCTGATCCTGGCAGAGCTGAGTCGGTTCATACAGGGGGTAATGTGTCCTTCTGCTGTGTGCATGTGTGTGTGCATGAGAGAGAGAGAGAGTGAGAGTCATGCTGCATGGATAAAACGATTAGTGAAATATAGGCAAGAGGAGGAAGAAAAAATGGACTCTGGACAGGAGAGAAGGATGAAGGAAAAGGAAAGTAGCAAATAAGACGAGAGGGCGTGAAAGGATGAAAGGAGGAGAAGAGATTCTAGAAAATGATCAGAAAGATAAAGATGGAGATAATGATGTAACCACACATGATGGCCCCACTGGTTTCTGGGCTCCACATTTTGAAGCCTCAACATTCGCCTTCTGGCCTCAGCCATGTTGGTCTGTTGGAGCCAGAGCAAAGTCCTGCTGGAAGCAAGTCTCACAGCTAGGCAGCCATCTTGGAACAAATCCAGGCATTTATTTGGAAGCCCATAGTGAAATGAGAGGGACAAAGAAATAACTTTATTTTCAGAGGCCAGTGCTTCAAAAAATATAAAAGTTTTGCCCCAAA